ATCTTTGAAACATTTAATCATATTTAAAGCATCAATATACTTGCCCCAAAGAGTTTTATTCCTCTTATACCACAACAATTTTTGGTAACAATTAATTAGTTAATAATACTTTTTCATTTATTAAAGAATAACATTTTGTAATTCTTATCCATTTATAGTTACATTTACAGTTGTTGAATGTCTGTGAAACAAGTTAGTTACTGTTATCACTTACGTTATATCAGCTACAAACAGTCATTTCCTCACTTTTTCTCTCTCTCTCTCTAAGATCATCAGAAGAAAAATTGCATTTTGTCACATTACTGAGAAACCACAAAGCACAAATTCTCTCTCCTGACGACTTTCCGCATGGAAAACCTAAAGGGACAGCTTTACCTCAAAGCACCTACAAAACTTCACCAGAGCAATTTAAAAAATGCATTTGCTAGGCTTTAATTATGTGTAGCATAACCTTCCTATGAATGAGTTGTTATTATAGAAACGATAAGAATGAGCCCATTAATGTAAACAAGCCTGTGATTTCCTTTCCAGCCAGCACTACTAGTTATGGAAAATTAATCAACAACTTATAGCCAAGCAGATCCAAGAATTCAACATTGCTGTGGAATACGGCTGGTTTAACACTTTGTACACATGCTGTGTCATTTGCAAGTTACACACTTGCATATCAGAGATGTTATTTTGTATTGTGGCTTCATTTTAAAAAAACCCAACCAAGCTCCTTTTGTTAGTTTAGCACAAAAAAAACACACATTTATGTTTTACAGAGTCAAATGAAAGTACATTCATTACAAATAGTACATGTAATGCAATGTATACAGTATTTAAAACAATAAGATGTTATATGGAAAGACTTATTATTACACTTCTAACTGTACTATAGTTGTATCCTTTATCCCTATGTAAGTATAAACATACTTTCCACATCAGAACCTTTTACCTAGTTTCCTATCTAATGTTAAAACCTTTGATCCTGGTTAAATTTTATTCTTTAAATAACCTTATAACCTGGTCTTGAGCTCGAGCTTGAGTCATCCCAGACGGCTCACCAGGGGCTGAATTGGCGTTACATCACCATTGGCCCATCTGCTCCTCCCACACTTTAGTGCTGGAATGAAAGAGTGAGCCGCAATCACAGGTGCCGATTACATTTCACCTGAGCGAGACTCCACGAGAAAGCTGTGGGAATCAAAAGAAGGTGAAATTTAGGAAAAATCAATGAGCCATAGAGTGTGCTCCATTGGTGCAGATTGAGATAGCGAGGGGGGTGGGTGATGAGGGGTACAGGATGGCATTCCAAATGGGAGTGTGCCAGGAAGAGCTGGGAGCCAGAAACAGCCGCCATCATCAGTAATCTTACATGGCCCTTCACAAAACCAGATCTGTAATGAATAGGGGGAGGACTGGTTTGGAAGAACAGGTTGAATGGCATTTCCTGTGCTGTGGGGTGAAAAGGTGCCATGAAAGCGAGGAGGATCAACTACTGCCTCTGGAATGTCTTTGACAGAGTAGATCCTTTTTTTGTTTAAGGTGAATGTTTGTGCCGGCAAGTTCTGGCAAACACCACCCTGCTCTCTTCCCAGGAAATCTAAGATTATACCATAGGCTGTCAATTTTTAGTTGCAGTTGGTGACTTGGTTATGCACAAATCTTACACACCTAGTACACTTTTTATTACCGTACAGCTTAGTTGGTATTTTATCATACAAAAGAGGCACTCCCAAAGTGTTACATCTTCACTCATCAAGTGACAAATAAGAACTTTTTTTTTTTCGTAATTAGATGTGGCACATAGTTTACTTCATATAACTACTGTGCCAGAGGATGAACTATATTTACTGAACAAATACTGTGGCACAATAGGCACTAACCTGTCCCACGCATAACGCACCAAGGAATGGGAAAAGAGGTGATTGTCTTTACAGCAAAACAATACCTTAAAAATAAAAATATACATATCACAATGAACACTGTTGGTTAAGTCACTTGCATTTCACCTTGAGTAATATTATCTGCCAAATGAATACAGCGTCTTGCTTAAGTGTTCACCTCTTTGAACTTGGTGATGTCCTTCTTACCCAGTCACTTACTTTTGATGGATGGCCTCCTCTAGTCACAGTTGTGACACATGCTTTCCATTTTTTAATAATGGATGTCAAAGATATAGGATATGACAAGAAGTCCATTTCAGTTCCAGGTGACATGAAAAAATGTGCAATAGTTCAAGGGAGGTGAATACTTATGCAGGGGACTATACACATAAATGCTGACCATTTAGGCCATTCCCAAATGTTATCTTTAATATTTAAGCCAGTAGCAGATATAGTAGTAGATCAGCCTAGACATGCTTGGTGTGCAAAGTTTGCTTTTTCAACTGGAAAAATAAGACTAAAATAACTAACAACTAACAAAAAACGTAACAATACTGCAGCCATCTTGCACAACTGGAGCCATGTTTTCCCTTAACAAATGCATATTTTCATCTAGGCTTTGCTGCCCAGGTTCCAAGGTTCTAACTAGGCTAAAAATTAATGGGAGGAAAAAACCTTAAAATACTACTGACACACAGTACTAGCAGGGACAGTCGTTATTGGCCAAAATGAAATTTTATCCACATAATTTCCAGCTTCCCAGTACATTTTCACCTTCAGCCAAAGCCAAGAGGATGAAAACAAGATTCCAGTTGTTCAAGATGGCTGCAAAAAATGTTATGGTCAAGTACATAGTTTAAATGCAAAACTTTTACTTTTTTAACTACACTATATAAGTTTGTGGACACCTGAGTATTAACATCCCATTCCAAAACCATTCCAAGATTGAGTTGTTCCTCCTTTGCTTCTTCTGGGAAGGCTTTCCACTAGATTTTGGAGCGTGACTGCGGGGATTTGTGCTCATTCAGCCACAAGAGCACAAGAGGTTGGGCACTGATGTCAGTGGAGAAGGTCTGGTGCAAGTTGGTGTTCTAGTTCATCCCAAATTTGTTTAGTGGGGTTGAGTTCAGGGCTCTGTGCAGGACACTCAAGTTTTTCCACACCAACCTTGGCAAATCATGTCTTCATGGACTTCAGATTGTGCACAGGGGCGTTTTCATGCTGGAACAGGTTTGGGCCTATTAGTTCCAGTGAAAGAAAATCTTAACGCTACTCCGTACACTTACAACTGTGTGTATCCAACTTTGTAGCAAGAGTTTGGGGAAGACCCACATATGGGTGTTATGGTCAGGTTTCCACATTCGTTTGGGCATATAGTGTACATTAGCCTCATAGCTTGAGTGCAAAACTAAAGAGACACCAGACACACCTAGGCTGATTGACTAGACTAAGGGTAAGGATGTGTACATTCCTTAGTATACTGAAGTGTTTCTGATCTCTGTAGGCGGTGCATCTTAAGAAGACCAGAAGCACTGAGCAGAAGATGGACAGGAAAAAAGCAGTGTATGCTGGAAAGGGTGAGTGCAAGCACAGCCTCTTATTGTACACTCAGCATGTCATCATGGGAGACTGCTGTGTGGACCTGGCTTTCTGGTGCTTTCTGTGTTTCCCCTGCTGTTTTCAGAATGAGTGTGCCTTTTTAAGAATGAGGGTGGTTTGTTTTGGTAGATGAGTCATATTTCTAATAATGAATATGGATAAAGACTTCGCAGGAGAAATATGCTAATCAGTGCTCATAACCTTTTCATGAGTTTGTTTGTGCCAGTGCCCATGAATATAAATCACATGTCCTGTTTTAATTGTGAACAGACAGGACCTGTTTCTGGGTAGTTATACTCATTCAGGGAGTGTTGTGCTGCTTTTTAGCATATATTACTGGAACCCATTATTGTTTATCATTTTATTTTGCTTTTTTTTTTCGGAAGCTTGCCAACATGTCTGGAAATTTGAGTGAGGTGTGTTGCCTGAACTGAAAGTCTGCAGAAGTGGCACTGCAGTCAGATGCTTACTGAGAGAAGAAAAAAAAAGCATTGCAAGGCTCAGAGAACAGGCAGTTGGGATCACTGAAGGTATATCCATAATCAGAAGCTGAAAACATCACAGGAGTCTAACCAAAAAGTGGTTCTAACCAAAACTTTGGTGTAGGCGGAAATCGAGAAGAACGTGGAGAACCCAGGAGTGTAAAAAACAATAAGAACAATGGGAAAATATAATTATAGACAACTATGACAGTATAACATGAGGTAAAATATCTATAGTAATGTAATGGAGCAGGACTGCTCTAGAATCGTGACTTTTGTAGAAGCAGGGGAGTTCTAGAATCAGTTGACTTTTAGAAATTGGAGAATTCAGGAATAAAGAAAGTCCTAGAATCAGGGAATGTCTAGAGATAGAACAGTTCTAGAAGGATGGAAGATTTAGAAGCAAAGGAATTGTAGTATCAGGATAGTTCTAGAACTGTGAAAGTTCAACACAGGACTGTGCTAGGAGTGGTAAGAGTATTTAGAAGCAGGATGGTTCTAGAAGCAGGAATGCTCTAGAATCAGGAGCATCTAGAAGCAAGAGAATTCTAGAATCAAATCAGAATCAGTTCTAGATTTGGGGAAGCAGGGGAGTTCAAGAAGTGGGTTACTTATAGGTAAATCTAGTCCTAGAACCAAGATGATTTTAGGTGCAACTCTAGAGGACAGTTCTACAAATAAGGCAGGTTCATGAGCAAAAGTATTCTAGGAGCAGGACATTTCTAGTAACTAGCAGGGCAGTTCTAGAAGAAGGACAGTTCTAGAAATAGGGGAATTCTAGAATCATGGAAGTCCTTGAGCATTCTTAAGTGGGGGTATGTCCAGGAGAGTTGTAGAACCAATATGATTTTGGAGGCAGGAGAGTTCTAGAAGTTCAGGACAGTTATAGAGCCAATGCTTTTAGAAGCAAGGCACTTGTAGAAGCAGGACAATACTAGACAAAGGGCAGAAACAAAAGCATTATAGGAGTGTCCTAGAAGAGGGAATGTTCTAAAGGCAGAGAGGTTCTAGAAGTGGGGGCACTGAAGCAGGATTCATCTATAATCCCTGCTGGACCTGAGACTTGATCCCACAACCTTTAGGTTACAAAGCCAACTCTCTAACCATTAGGCCATGACTGCCCCCAGCTGTAGAATCAGGAGAGTTCTAGGAAATAGATAATTCTAGAAACAGGACCATTTCAGCTGCAGGAGAGGTTTAGAAGCAGGATACTTTTAGAAGCAAGATGATTCTAATAGCAGGAGAGTTCTAGAATCAGAACAGCTCTAGTGGCAGAGTGGTTCTAGAAGTAGAGCAAGTCTAGAATCAGGAGAGTTCTAAGAGTAGGATCATTCTAGGAACAGGACCATTCCAACTGCAAGAGAGTTTTAGAATCAGGGCAGTTTTAGAAGCAGGCGGAAAAGTTTTAGACAATATTTTTTATCAAATTTTATGCAAACTCCTAAGAGCACAATACACAGCACTTTCTTTTTAATCAGTAAATGAGGCATATGAGGATTGTTCAAGTGTATGTGTCCATCATGGTGCTGGAGAAGTAGCTTGAATGCCTACTGTAACACACAGTTGCCAGATTGCTGGAGCATGAACAGAACAGCTGGTGATGAGGTTTTTGATCTCCATCCTTCTCTTTCATGAGGAAAAACAAATAGTCCTCATGCTCACACTCACACACAAACACACACAGCTGAGCGGCCCGACTTCCTCCTCTTTCTCTTTGACCGATGCTCCTTATCACGGTAATTACAGTAATCTAATGACCCCCTCCAGCTCGGACAGGAAGAGGGACAGAAGAAGAGAAAGGAGGAGGTGAGTGAGACAAGAGAGTAGAGAGTGAGGCAAGTGGAGCATATCTCCAGCTTTAGGCGAGAAAAGGAGGCGGAGGAGAGAAAGTAAAGCACTGGTCCTCGTCGGAATCATGGGACTCCTTTTTACTTCTCCAATTAAAATTCCAGTCAGGAGACGTTATTTCATTGACAGTCTTCCTGCTCTGCTTACTCTTTTGTGTTTAGGAACTCTAGCACACATTGTGACCTTAGTATTATAAGGTCTTTGAACAGATAGAAAATTCTAAGATGCTGGTACATGCGGCCATCTTGTTCAAAAATACTGACAGGACACTATCTTTTTTAGCTTAACCACTAAGCTGTTCAATTTCTCAAAAACAAGGTCAGACTACTGCAGGTCCCACAAAAGAGGTTCTACAGTCTCTCCTCTATAGTGACATTTTTGTTTCTAGGGCTAGAAACAATTTAAATTTAACATCAGAAGTCAGAAGTAAAGACATAATTTAGGGTACCAATCTAGTGCCAAGCCTTACCTAGTAGTAGATGTACTCATTTATCAACCATTTCTCACGCAGTGTTATATAAACACAGTCCACTGAGCACACAAAATTAGCATTGCTAACCACAAGATTAGCTTGCTAACCTCTTAAGCTGCAGGGAATTGTGGATGGTTAATGTCCACTCCTGACACTTAATATAACATAATATTTGCGTCATTTTCTATGTAGTTAGTGCATATTAATGCTTTAGAGAGATTTGAGAAATTTTGGTAATGTAAATGAGAGTAAGAGGATTCATACAACAACTAAATATCCAGTATTCTATCCTTGCTAGATGGCTATAGGCTACTCTGCTGCTAAATATGAATGCTAAATCCCATTTTAGCTTATATTTTGCTGTCTTTCTGTCTAAAATTTTACAGAGCTTGACTCAAAAAAGTATATGATCCCTCTTTATGTCTCAGGATGATAATGGACATTTAATAAGCTTTAGAAATAGGTTTTAGAAATATCAGTGATTTTTTGCAGTCTTTTTTTCTTTTTCTTTTCCTTTTCAGCTTTCACTTACAATTTGGCTTTCAAACTTTGGCACTTGTGGTTCACAATATACCAGTGCACAATATACCAGCAACAATTAAAAACAGTAGAATAGTTCAAGCTTTTAGAGTATTTATGTGGTTAGTGTCCTGATGTGGAATTTGTTTCAGCTCTAATGAGGCTGCTCCTTCTCTGACATCGCTCTCTCTCTCTCTCTCTCTCTCTCTCTCTCTCTCTCATTGTTCTCTGCCTATCCCATTAATTCTCTCTTCCCCCTCTCACACACACACCACAAACACTTCACACCCTCTGTATAAACTCATCACTTCAGGTGTTAACAGATAAACACTCTAATGCTAATTCTTTAATATACGACACCCCCACACCTTTACTATCACGTAATAAATTCATTTCAAAGCAATAACAGACAAAGCCATTCTGCTTGATCCTTTTTCAGTGATCTTTGATCTTTTTTAATCTCTTTAAAGAATGTAGCAGGATGAGACTAATTTCATTTGATTCACCTTCCATGACATAAAGTATTAAATGTACATGAGATCCTTTTTATGCACAAATACTAACTGTGAGCTATCTAACTTGTTGTGCTCTTTGTATATTCATGCTTATGTCAATTAAAAAAATATATATATTTTTTAAAGTATCCAATTTTAGTCATCACCAGTTTCTGCTCAATAGCAAGTCCTCTCCTATTGCACAAAATCTAAGGCTAGGATATGATTCCGCCAATATATGAAGCCAGACATCAAATCTTTTTAAATTGCTGCTCATGCTACATCAGCTGAACACACTCGGAGGAGAGCATTAAACTTTTAACTTACATGCCCGTATATATGAGCTCACAGACATCTGCAATTGGTTAATGTTGCTCTGATTGACAGGTGAGAGCATAATATCATCCCTCCCACTCAGAATGCATAGCCAATTTTGCTTTCTCTTTCCCACGGATTGGCTGGCATCGTCTCACTTATGATCACCTGATGATAGGGTGAACACTTTTCTAGCAACCCTGGGGGTTTTCTACATACATTTCAATAACAGTTATAGTTTTGAAATGGGCAGAGAAGCAGAACTGCAGACAAACTGTCCACTATCTGCCACAAGCCCCTCCACTTCTATTCATTGGGGCATGATGGGACAGGTTAGTGCCCTTTGCTCCATACTTAATTTGGTTGGCAAATGTAGCCCATCATGTGAGACCTTTTACTTGAGTATGTTTGTTCATAGTTAAAACAAAAATATATTTAAAATAAAACAGTATAGGGGATAATTAAGTATCTGTAGACACAATTGAAGTCCTAAGAAAAGCAAGGTGCTACCCCTGCCCCTTCATAACTTTACTTACAAGTTGCTGAATTCTTACAGATTGTGCTCTGTTGTTTTCCCCCCTTTTTAAAATATTTATTTTCTGGTTGTCTTCCACCCGATGGATGCATCAGTTTCATATTGAGATTAAAGAACAAAAAAAAAACATCTAGCATGTTGGTACATCAGGAGCTGTTTTACTTGATGATTTCAGAGGGAATATGTTTGAAGCAAGCTTCTTGGAGGCTTGCTCAGAACCCAGCGCCTTGCTTTGTTGTCTCTCTCTCCACTCCACCTTGCTCTCTGAAGTGTTTAGATACATGGTGCCTCTCCACAGCTGCAAAAAAGGCTGACATGAGCTTCTATCTCACGATACGTCTCGTCTAATCTCAAAGCAGTTCTCTCTATCTCCCACTCTCTTTTGCTCTCCAAAGAGGAGGATAATCTCTGGAGAGAGATTTCAAACTGGCCAGAACGAGGTCAAAGGACTTTCTCGTTCATTCTTTCTCTCTCTGATGTCGTGCTTTTTTTTCTTCCAGCTGAAATCAGTTGACAGCTTTAACATCTGAAAGGTATTTTAAAAATAATCAGTTAGACTTCTGTATGTAGGTGTAACTATATGGTAAATGGTGAATATATACACAGCAGAATATATAGCAGATATTAATTAGTCTTCTATAACAGCAGCAGTTCCAGTTGCAAGGTTTAAATTAATAAACATTCTAATATGTTATTGCTTCTATATTAACAGCTAATTCATATAGATGTAGATTTTAAAAAGTGTGTAATTATTAAAATTGTTAATTTTCTGTGAGATATTTATTTAGTGTTTTTGTAAGGAGTCTCCAGTGACAGTGACTTTGTAACAGTCAGAAGTTTTCTGACAAGTCTTCAGGACAGAAGGCTTTGTGCTTTCCAGTTTCTGTGTAACAAGCTGCATTTTCTGGCTTGTTAACTTCAAGGGAGAGAAAAAAGAGAGGCAGGTGAGGGAAGGCTGTTATATAGAACAGCCGAATATAGGATAGCTGCTATAGCATAAATGATAACAGAACTAACTTCTTTTGTGGACTTGTTACATGTATGTTACATGTAACTGTAAATAGATAAAAACAAACAATGTCATTCTTTAATAAATATGAATTGCTATTTTTGGCAACAACAAAAAAAAAGACCAGTATAACAGGAATAAAACACTTCAGGAAGTGTTGTTATCGGAAAGTTGTCACTTCAGGATAGTAACAGTAAATCTGTTTCACACAGGGTTGCATCACCCCACCCCGCTCTTGATTATTTTCCTATAACAGCACATAATAACATGTATTTCTTACTTACTCAATATGTTGTGATATTCAGAACAATGATGTTCAGGCAACCCTGTCAAACTGAACAAATTATTATTAAAAAAAAAAAAAAAAAAGCAGTGTCAGCAGCAAGGCACCAATGTTGGTTGGAGTGTTCATTTATTTTGCAAAGTGAAAAAAATAATAAGAGATGGAAAAGGAGGTGGCATATTTCATGTGTAATATTTACAAAAATTATAGACAGAGGTGGTCTCAGAACAAAAGAACTTCAGCCTGTTGCACCCACATGAACATATGACCTTAAATACTCACTATGTCTGTGCCGCCTTAAATAGCTACTATGTCTTAAAAATTATCATTGCACCAAGTGACATCATTTCAACATAGGCTAGGTTACTTTACTTAAAACTTACACTGATTCCCTTGTAGGTGCAACATTCTTCGTATGTTGTTAGGAGGATTTCTTCATGTCAGTAGTTACGGACATCTAGCAGAAATATAAAGTCTGCAACAGCGCATATAAACAGGAAGGATTATGGCTACAACTAGGTTATTTGTATATCAGTCAGTATATAAAAATTAAAATATTGGCAAGGTAGTATATGCTACCATTTTTTGTAATATTATATTGTTCTTCAAATTCAGTAATCAAATGCAGATTAAGTTTGAAGGACAC